CCCCAAAACCCCAAAACCCCAAAACCCCGAGATAAGCTGGTATCGTTGAAATAGAATAAACCATATTGTGTTCTGAATTGGTTATGATTTTTCTAGCAATTTCTGTCCAGATTCTATTGTTTCATCTTGATCCTCCAACTTGTAGAATTCTGCACCTCTGTCCATTTTGACTGACTGGACTTCTAAAGGTGCAACTTCAGCTTGCTTCTTGACCTGCTTAGGGAATAAAACGTACTTCTCCAGGTTCATAAATGGGACTTCTCAGATAAGTGTCAGAATAACTCCGACCATAAATGAAATTACAGTGCATCCGACTGCGAAGAATAGCTGGGTGGTAGTGGTGACATAAATGCTGGCTTTGAGATTGTTGAGGAAATGAAATATAACCACAACGTGGATCATGTACACCATGTAATTAAGTCTTGCTAGGACTTCAAATATCTCAGCTCCTAAAAAGGCTCTTATCACTCTTAATCTGCCCACAAAAGTAGGAGCAAGAATAAGACCGACGCCAGCAGCAAAGAATGGCCTGACTGTGAAGTTATACAAAGCTGATAGCCATAGAGGCCAGCTGTTTCCTTTCCCTGCATTAGCTGGGTCTAAACTTTTTCTTCCATAAGCAGCATTTGGGAAAACATACAGAGCTGTTACTCCAACTCCGAAACAACACACCAGAACTGAAATTATCTGAGAGCCTTTAAGTATGGCATAGAATTTATTAAATAGAGTGCTTGATAACTCCTGATACTTCTCACTACAAGATATCTCGAAATAAGAAATCCCGAACAAGGCTCCAACAAAGTAAGCACCCATTCTGGTCCAAGGCTTGATGTAGACGAAATCTTCAACATGTTCTTTCTTTGTTGATTGTCCATCCATTGATATATCCCAAACAAGTGAAAGGATTCCGACTGTCAACATCGATAGGAAAATGAGTAATAATACCAACAGTTTCCCAATCTTCCTGTTCATGCAATAGACAATGATAATTGGAGGACTGATAATGAAGAACTGCATGTCACACATCAGATACCAGACCCAACCGATGCATTGATCAGCCATCCCCCAAGGTATAGGTTGGCAATGAACACAAAGTTTTGCCACGGGTTTGCGAAGCAAGATTTGGTCAGGAAATCCCAACTCTGTCTATAGAAATGTAATTATCAGAATTTGAAAAGGAATAATAAAAGTGAAATTGAACTTAATTAACACAAGAATTAATGAATTTATTCTTACCTATACATTGGCCCATTTCCGAAATACCTCATGACAAACATAGTAAAAAGTTGAATGTATATCATCGGGAAGATGAGTCTATAATATCTGTGGAAATAGATCAGAAACGTATTTACTATTCCAATCATCCCTTTCTTAGGGTACATTTTTGAGATCAGCAGAGCAAATGTCAAGAATCCAGAAAGAAAGAAGAAAGTATCAACAGCATAGATGCCTCCAGGAACAATAGAGAAGAAATCGCTATCAAATAAAACACCGAGTGTCTGTATATTTTTAACAACTGAAATGCTTAAAAATGCAAATGAATGGCCAAGTATAACCCATCCAATACTGAGCACTCTGACTCCATTCAACACGCTCAAAGTTTTATCTCCTTCTTCCTTCACAGTAAACAACTTCTGGAGGTTGAAGATGGGGTTCCATGAATGGAGGGCAAGGGCCCATGTCGTCTTTCTCTCTTCGATTTTATTTGACCTGAAGTTCCCATTACTGCCAATATTTGTATATGTAATCAAAATTCCACAAAACCAAAGAAGCCCCACAAAGCCTGTGAAAATCAGAACTAGTATAGCTCCTGTTGACATTGATTCTGAGAGGACTTCTCTTGAAACTGAAACTTTTGCAACAATCTTAAAGTCTTCAGGAAAATATGGCTTAGCTTGTCTCTCAACAAAGTCTGAGATTCCCCTAAAACTCTCTTGACTAGCTCACTCTTGTGGAACACAAAGCCCCATCCTCGTAATAGATATGTCTTGAGGCTCTAACATCAATGCTAATATTACATACTCTAGTCCATCAGCATGGCAGCCATCAAAATCACCTAGCTCATTTGGTCCCTTGGCACTATTCAATGCGATCTGAGCTAAATCGCCAAGACCTTCAGGACTCAAGGCCTTTCTCACATGTTGGAGACATGCAGTGTCTTCTTCAGAGCTTATGCTGGTGTTTCCAAAGGCAACATCTCATAGTAACAGCATAAGAGCAGCAATAGTAAGTATCCTCATTCTCAAGTAATATATTTCTTTGAATGAACTAATTATAATTTTCAATAGGGTCTCCTTTAAGAGGGGTTTTGGGGTTTTGGGGTTTTGGGG